CCCACCCCGGCGGCCAGAGCGCCGGGGGCAGGGCGGCGAGCCCCGGCGGGGGCTCGGCTCTCCCCCCCACCCCGGCGGCCAGAGCGCCGGGGGCAGGGCGGCGAGCCCCGGCGGGGGCTCGGCTCTCCCCCCCACCCCGGCGGCCAGAGCGCCGGGGGCAGGGCGGCGAGCCCCGGCGGGGGCTCGGCTCTCCCCCCCACCCCGGCGGCCAGAGCGCCGGGGGCAGGGCGGCGAGAGGGCGGCGAGCCCCAGCTGGGGCTCGGCTCTCCCCCCGGTGGCCAGAGCGCCGCGCCGCCCCCCTCCAGGTGCCGCCCCAAGCACCAGCTTGGGTGCCTGGTGCCTGGAGCCGGCCCTGAGTGGGTCACTTGATTACAGTCTGTAAGTATCTATATAGGGAACAAATATTTAACAATGGGCTCTTCAGACTGGCAGAGAAAGGTATAACACAACCCAGTGGCTGGAAGTTGAAGCTAGACAGATTCAGATGGGAAATAAGCATAATTTTTTAACAATGAGAGTAATTAACCATTGGAACAATTTCCCAAGGGACATGCAATCCATCGCTGACCATTTTTAAATCACAATTGGATGCTTTTCTAAATGATCTACTCTAGGAATTATTTTGGAGATATTCTGTGGTCTATGCTATATAGGAGGTCAGAGTAGATGATCAGAACGGCTCCTTCTGGACTTGGAATCTGTGAATCAATCATCATGCTTAGTCCTAACTCAAATAAACTCCCACTGGCATCAATGGGAGTTTATCTGTGAAAGTACTGAATAAAATCTAAGCAAGGGAAATCAGGATTTGACCTGTCAGCTGCTTATTATCAGTCACTGTTGTCCTTTGTCTATGTGAAATACGTGTGAAAGCTACTAGAACACCTTTTGATAAAGCTAGAATTCATATGATGTGTTGCTGTTCTGATTACATGCAAGATCCTCGATACTGCTCGCAGTTTGTATGATAAACAACTCAGTGATCAGACTAAAAGCAGCAGGCTAAAACTGGAATGATGAAATTTCACTCACACAGCTCAGGGCCAGTATTTTGTTGTTTTTTCCTTAGTGGTTTTTATGTAACTTGCATGTAATTTTGAATCTTGATAATTATACTAAAATAACTGTGTGACTATAGTCTTATAACCACTACCTGCTTTAATATGAAATTCAGCTGATGGCATTTGGTGTTTCTGGGGAATAAAGAAGATGCATACACTTCAGTAATAATTAAGAGCTAGATAGTTCCTTAAAGAAATAGACCCGTATTAGCAGGGTGTAGAGGGATTGCACTGAGTCGGAGTCAGCCACGATTCCTCCAGTGATGATAGGGGACTGTGGTCTCTGCTACGCTCTTCTACAGGGAACAGAGTTCACTACCACCACCTCCTCTTTTGGGCACGCACACATACACACATGAAAGCTGTGGGACCCCAACATTCTCCACCCTCTTTGGGAGGCTAATACCACTGTCAACATCAGCCTAAAACATTTTTGGAGCTCCATGGTTGGCTTGGCTCTAAACCAGGGGTTCTTAAACTTCAGTGCACCGCAACCCTGTTCTGACAACAAAATTATTACATGATCCTGAATGGGAGCAGAGGAGGCCGGAGCCCAAGCCCCACTGTCCTGGGTGGGGGGAGAGCAGGTGGAGCCCTAAGGTCCCAGCCCTGGGTCCCAGCCAGTCTAATGCTGGCCCTGGCAACCCCATTAAAATGGAGGTACAACCCACTTTGGGGTCCCAACCCACAGTTTGAGAACTACTGCTCTAAACCATTTAAGGGTGCAAGGTAGGGGAGAGGAGCACTTTTTGTTCTCTCCTTCATTTGTGCACATGTGCAGGGCCAGATCCAGCATGGCCCCTAATATTGTAAATATACTCCAGGGACTTGACTTTCACTCAGATGCTAAAATACAAGGTAAAGGCCAGATTCTAAAGTCTTGGTTACGCTAGCGTTTATTTTTAAATTTCCTACTGTCGCACTGTCAGCAGTGCACCTCCCTCAGTTGTGGCAATGGTGGAAGCTGTGATGTAGTCAGGCTGTTAACATCTGATGGGGTTTTAACCAAAGATCATCTAGATCTGCTATCAGTGCAATTAGATGACATGTATTTTATCTCACCTGCTGTTTATTTACATTAATACTCCTATTGTTGATGAAGCTGCACCAGCAACGGAGCACCAATGTAAAATATGAAGGAAAATGGTAGTGTAGCCTAAATCATTGATCTGCTATTATGTTCATGTGTGCAAATGGAGTAATGGATTTATTTATTTATACTTAGTGTATCTTGCAATGAGCACCATATATTGCAGATTAGGATCCAACCCAAAGCACGATTGCAGATTCACCTTCAAAGACCATAACTTCCAGGGCTGCCCAGAGGATTCAGGGGGCCCGGGGCAAAGCAATTTTGGGGGCCCCTTCCATAAAAAAAGTTGCAATACTATAGAATACTATATTCTCGTGGGGGCCCCTGTGGGGCCAGGGGCCTGGGGCAAATTGCCCCACTTGCCTCCCCCCGGGCGGCCCTGATAACTTCTACTGTCATGAATTCAACAAGAAATTCAAGAGATCAAGTTATCCTTTATTCATAAAACTGTTAGGGGCCACTCTTCAGACAAATTAAGACACATTTGCCCTGCCCCTAGTTGTTTATAGTCTCATTTGCACACGCCAGTTTGTATTGGTTTAATTATCAGCCCATAGTTATTGAACAAAAATGTATTTTGTAACAGCTGTGTTTTTTGCAGACTGTTAAATTTACATCAACAAAGTTATGTAGAGCTGTGGGGGGGGACCCAAACAGCTGTATTTTTTAAAAAAAACCTACTCTCAGGGTATGTCTACACTACCCGCCAGATTAGCGGACAGCGATCAATCCAGCAGGGGTCGATTTATCGCGTCTAGTCTAGACGCGACTAGACGCGATAAATCGACCGCTGAGCGCTCTCCCGTTGACTCCTGTACTCCACTGCCACGAGAGGCACAGGCACAGTCGACAGGGTAGCGGCAGCAGTCGACTCACCACAGTGAAGACACTGCGGTGAGTAGGTCTAAGTAAGTCGACTTCAGCTACGTTATTCATGTAGCTGAAGTTGCGTAACTTAGATCAATCCCGCCCCGCCCCCCCCTGTAGACCAGGCCTCAGATGTGAGTATTTAGCTCCCTTTAACGCCATGTATGTGCAGCTAAAGGTACAATTTGGTCCTCAAAATCA